AAATATATGTACAAATTGCTCCCTTATGATAGTACAAGTCATACAGCAAACAATCCTAGCTAATCACAGTCGAAACAATGACTTTGAAACAGAGATGTACTAATAAAAATAGGAGCTATACGTTACATCTGTTTAAATCATCAGATTCCAAATAAGAAAATGGTAAAGTGAATTCCAAATAAGAAAATGGTAAAGTGATTGGAGTAAATGACCTGTTTTCTCAGAGTGTGGGGTTTAAGAAAAATTTAGCCTCAAGTGTAGAATGGTGGAGTATTTGTAAAGGCAAAGATTTGCGCCTTGAAAAGGAAAATGCAGAAACCTACACACAAAAAAGAAAACAAACAAACAAACAAAAAACAAACTATGACAAAAAAACATTCTCACTAACAAACTTGCTCTGCACCTGCCCCAGGAGCACCGCCCTGTGGGCAGAGGGTCAGGAGTGCCACTCCAGAGCAGTCCTGTGTCACCTTCTAGGGTTCTTGCTGCTTTCCCCAGACCAATGTTGTAGAGATTTTCCTCTATGTTTCACTGTAATAGTGCCATAGTTTCAGGACTCAAATGTAACTTTTATTCCACTTTAAGTTGATTTTTGTGTAAGGGTACAATTTCATTCTTTTGCATGTGGATATCCAATTTCCCAACAAAATTTTTGAAGAGATTTTGCTCTTCTCCTTGTGTGTTCTTGTTACTTTTGTTAAAAATCAGTTGAACATAAATGTTTGGTTTTATTTCTGGGCTCTCTGGACTATATGTCTGTATGTCTGTGTGTATGTCATCACCATACTGTTTTGATTGTTTTAATTTATAATAGATTCTGAACCATGATTAACTCAGAGTTCTCTCTGGGATGAACAGATGGTTCAAAAGAAGCAAGTAAATAAATATGATAAATGCCATTACAGAATTAAGGAGCAAAACCTATAATTATCTCTACAGAGGCAGAAAAAGGATTTGACATCCTTCAACATCTTTTTAAAAACAAAAATTTCAACAAATTAGTGATAGAAATATTATCCTTCACTATATTAAAGGGGATATATGACAATCCCACAGCTAATGGCATGCTTACCAGTGAAAGTTTACATTTGTTAAACATGATCAGAATAAGACAATTACACTGTCTCTCACCAGTTCCTTTCAACATAGAACTGGAAGTCTAGCCAGAGCATTGAGGTAATAAAAATAAATAAATGTCATCCACTTACGAAAAGATAATAAAAATTGTATGTTTGGGGCCGGCCCGGTGGCGCACTGGATGAGTGCACCGCTTGGGAAGTGCGGTGGCGCTCCCACCCGAGGATTCGGATCCCACATACAGACCGGTTCCCGCTCACTGGCTGAGCAAGGCGCGGGAGCAACACCGAGGGTTGCAATCCCGTTGCCGGTCCCCTGTCCGGTACGGGGGCAACACTGAGGGTTGCGATCCATTGCCGGACACGGAAAAAGACAAAAAAGACAAAAAAAAAAAAAAAATATGTTTGCTGATAACATGATCTCATAAATAAAAACCCTAAAGACTCCACCTGTTAACTGTGAGAACCAATAAACATATTTAGTAATACTGCATCATACAAAATCAGGACAGAAAGCAGTAGTGTTTCTATACATTAACAATGAGCTATCTAAAAATAAATCAGTAAAACAATTCAACTTGCAATAGCATCAGAAAAAAATAAATAAATTCCTAAGAATAAATTTAACCAAATTGCTTAAAGATTTGAATATTGAAAACTCTAAAGCATTGATAAAAACTCATAAGTAAAGGGCAGACACAAAAGTGTAGATCGAGGAAGCCACAGAGCACCAAACAGGAAGAATAAAAGCAAAAGAAATGAAGCTCACACACACATGCATACACACACGTATGTACATGTATACACACATGCACACGTACACACACACATACACACATAATATTATATCTTCAAGTGTTATAATATTAAAGTGTTATAATATTAAATCTTCAGAACACACATAACGCGGTTAGGTTAAGAAATGCTTATACCTAAAAGAATAAAGGTAAGAATTACAGAGGATTTCTCATAAGAATCGAAGACAACAAAAATTGAGAGATTTGAAATGTTTAAAGTTTTGGAAGCTGCAACCGCCACCACCCGGGACTCTCAACTCAGCTAAATGATCCTCCATGAGTGACGGAGACCACCAACTCCTCGTATCCACCTTCCATCCAGAAAAGAATAAATATTTGATATAAATTGAATAGCACAGCAACTATAGCCAATAATAATAGATCATATATTTCAAAATAGCAAAGAGCGAATTTCAAATGTCTCACCACAAAAATAAAATGAGGTGATAAATACGTTGATCACTTTGACCTAATTATTCCACAGTATATACACTTATCAAAATACCACATAGTTCCCCATAAATAAATACAATTACGATGTGTCATTTAAGAAACCATTAATAAAAAATGTGAAGGAGAAATTGCCTCTCTCAGACCACACAGTGGTGAAGGATCAAGGCGCCCCTCAGAATCATGAACGAGGTGAGCACAGCTGCCAGCACAGCTCCTACTCGACACCTTCAATGTGACAAGTGGATGTAAACAAGCAACAATCATGAGGACACACATACAGTCCTTGACCTTCGGGTGTGACATTAGGGGTCTGGCTTCAGGTCTCACACGTAAGAAGCTTGGACGTCATCACTCCCATCCAGACAACAAGAAAATGACTGAACAGACAGATAATCAGTAACTCTTCTTACATATCTTAAAGAAGTGACGTTACAGGGTACACTACTGTCCCCAAATTGAAGATGTAGTCAGGGAGACACAGAGGGTCACAGCTTGTCTGATCAGAACCTCATAAGCAGAAGCCTCTGTGTGGTCTAGGATGGGGGAAGATGAACCAGAGCTATAGGGGAAGGATGGCTGGAGACTCAGGATGGGAAATCTGAGAGGTGGGTGCATCCCAGGGGGACGGTCTTAGAGATCCCAACCTTTTAAACTCCACCTCAGCGGTGCGATGAGGTTCTCAATGAAAATATCATAAAACAATCCTCCTGCTCTCTGCAGAGAAAAGGGGAAGGAGCCGTTCTGAGATTCACCAGAGCAGGACGCTCTTCAGGTCAACCTCAGGAGGAACTAATTTATCTGATCCCAAGAGGTTATAACTTCTTCAGAGCAAAACTGACCACAGAGAAGAGAAACACCCAACTCTATGCCCTTTCCTGAGAGCCTTCCAGTCTAACCTAAGGGCATCATGAAGGGAGAAGCACCGGTGAAAGTCACACCCAGGACAGGGCTCACTAAAGGACAGACTCATCACAGGACTGTGCAGTGCTTCCCCTACCACCCACATCACCCACACCTTACACACAACGTTCTGATCTGACAAGGTGTGACCCTCTGTGTCTTCCTGACTGCATCTTCAATTCTGGGGACAGGAGTTCACCCTGTGACTTCACTTCTTTTACAGATATAAGAAGAGTTACTGATGTTCTGTGTACTAACAGGGAAAAACTACAACACCACATGCACCTTAGACACTATTAAAGTAGTCTCTCTGAAAACCTAGTCCACAGAGGAGACAAAAACAAGGACACCAGGGGACATTTTATCCAGTCCATAGCTTGCCTTGTCATCCTCTTTACAGTGACTTTTGCAGACACAGAGTTTCTAATTAATGGCTCCAGCCTGTCGATGTTTCTTCCCTGCATTGTGCTGTTGTCTCACCTCCATTGTATGCGGTATTTTCTCTTTTTATGAAACATTCATAAGCCATAGGTGCCTGCTCAGCACCTGAAAACCTAGTCCACAGAGGAGACACAAACAAGGACACCAGGGGACATTTTATCCAGTCCATAGCTTGCCTTGTCATCCTCTTTACACTGACTTTTGCAGAGACAGAGTTTCTAATTAATGGCTCCAGCCTGTCAATGTTTCTTCCCTGCATTGTGCTCTTGTCTCACCTCAATTGTATGCGGTATTTTCTCTTTTTATGAAACATTCATAAGCCATAGGTGCCTGCTCAGCACTACATGAGGTCCCAACCTTCAATGATCAGCCTCATTACTGAGCCCCTCATGTGCACCTGCACAGGAGGTGACTTGGTAAGAATTGAGCAGGGCTCTTGGCTCATGGAGCTGAGTGTCTAGGGACAGATCTAGTAAGAATTTAAACAATGGTAGACAGAGGATGGTATTAGGGCAAGTGTCCATGATGTCTGTGGGACAGCAGAGAGTGGGCAGGGAAAGGGCTCTGTCCAGCTGGTTCTCAATATACACAGGGAATCGCCCCATAGAACCTGAGATACACAACTTAGGACACAGTTCCCAGGGCTGCTTTGAGAGGCCACACCCAGAATGCAACATAGCAGGGCTCTGGTGGGTATTTCTCTCTGTGCTTGTCACCCTGAAACCTCCACATAGAAGTGTAAGAGCTGTGTCTGGCCCTTAGGCAGCAGCTTCTCCATCCAGGACATTGGAGCATGGACAGAGAGAGGGACAAATACTGAACATCAGTGTCCACAGTGTGGATGAGGATCCAGAGGATAAACTGCCCCAGGGAGGACACGGACCCCATGGACAGAGTTCCTGAAGATGATCATAACAATGTGGCAGTAAGTGTGCTCGACTGAGGGAAGATTCTTCTTAGGGACACTGTGTGCCTGGACTGAGCAACCCTTTAGGGAAAAATATTATTGATCACATGAAGATAACAATCTCTACAATGATTTGTGTGTCAGCAAAGAGAACAGGTTATGATAAAACCTGAGGAAAGAAAGGTCTCAGTGAGTGGAAACATCTCATCTACAAATGAGGAAAGTTACTTCAAACTGCGTTGCCTGAAGTAAGAATGTGAGAAGAGAGTCACAATGAACAAAGAAGGAAATGACACTGTGGGCATCTGGGAGTCAGTAGAGCAGAGGAAACCTCAGACCCCAAGAGAACCCCCATCCCCTCTCTGCACCTGCTCCATGGGGCACAGGAGCTGGGTGGGCCTTGAGCGCCCCCTGCAGCCCAGTCCCCTATTGTATCCTGCAGGGAGGTTTGTGTCTGGGCTCCTGCTGACTTCCTGTCACTGTGTCTCTCACACAGTGATACACGCCTGTGTCCTCGTCGGTCACAGAGCTCAGCTGCAGGAAAAACTGATTCTTGGACGTGTCTCTGGAGATGGAGGTGCGGCTCTTGAGCGACAGGTTATAACCTGTGCTTCCACTATAACTAATGTATCCCATCCACTCAAGGCTCTTCCCCTCAGGCTGGCGGATCCAGATCCAACCATAATTATTGGTGACGGAGTAACCAGAGACGGTGCAGGTGAGGGAGAGGGACTGCGAGGGCTTCACCAGTCCTAGGCCCGACTCCTGCAGCTGTACCTCGGACAGGACACCTGGAGAAAAAGAGAATAGGAACCTGTCAGTCACATGCAGTCAAAACCATACCGTAGACCCATGTGTGACATCTGAGACACTCAACTTGGGGAGCTGTCACCAGGCAAAGAGAAGACCCCACAATCTCATCTTCTGTTAGATCTCAACTCTGCATTCCCCAGAGACCTGAGCCCTGTCTGAGGACAGACCTGTGAGCTTCCACCACCCATGAGTCTACATTTACCCTGGAGTTTGAAGGGAAATTTGCATGTGGGAGAGCTCTGTCCTTATAAGCGGTGAGGAACTGAGGTGGGATTTTCTGCATTTTTGATGTGCCTGTATTCTATTATATTCTGAAAATTACTTGACATATAGTTTTCCGATGTAAAAGAACACTCCAAAATGTGGCCCCAGATTTCTTAGCCCAGATCTACCTTCCTTCTACCATCTCTTGTGCCTTGTCTTGGACCCAGCCCAAGTTTTCCCACAATCTCAGGCTCTGGGTTGTGCTTTTACAGCTCTGATCGCAGCACAACACCTGCTTCCTTTCCCTGTACCCTCTCCTTTCATGTGCTTCTCATCACACCTGAGAGCTTGTTACATTGTTACACTGTTGCTGTTCCATGAGTTCCAGGCCTGTCCTGTGCCCCGTCCACCATGTGATACAAGAAACAGCACATGGGAACCCACAGGGACTCTGCAAAATACAGCATCCTGTACATGACTCAGGAAACTGATTCTCACTGTTTGGGAAAGACAAATAGACTCCTTTAAATGTCCCCTTCCCAATATAAATCCTGTGCTTCTAATGTGTTCGAATTTTCAACAGAAATTCAGTTCTCACACTTTTATTATTGATGTGATTCTTTCATTTAGTCCTACAATCTCATCAGAGATCCCCACTTGTGAACATATCAATCATAATTGTTAACATACAAGCAGTAATAAAATCCCTAATATGAAAGTTTTAACAACACACTTCCCTTTGATTTCTCTGTGTTGGGGCCCATGACAGCCACTCCATGACTATGGTCACTGCCCTCTGAGATGCCGCCAACCACAGAGAAAGAGGCCAGGGGCTGTGCTGGATGCTGTGCTGTGTCTACTCCTGTGAGCCCCCTCTCAGTCCCAAGAGCAGGTCCATGTCATGGAGGGACAGCCCTTGAAGGTTCCTGAATGGATTGTAAGTTAGGACAATTGGGGGCTGATTCTTCAGTTCTTGTTAACGCATGAATTTTGCTGGAATTTTACCAAAATGGTAAAAGACCTGATAAAAGACAAAGGAAAACAAACACAGTGAAATCAGAAAGCAAGGATCAGAACCAGGGTAAAATATGACACAGATTTTGGAATTATCAGAGAGGAGATTTAAAATAACTAGGTGTATGTGCAACACTGTTTCAGTTTGTTTCTAAACCTTCAGCTGACTCTACAGAGTCCCAGCTGCCCATGTCTATTTGCACAGGATAATTTATCAGGATGTTCTGCCTAGTGTAGCAAACACTCCAGCATCTCAGTGGAATAAAGATTCAAGAACAAATATCTACTGTTTGCTCATTTCTATTCTAATGTGTTCAGGAGGGAAGTTGTGGTGAGAAGAGGTGTCTGATTCATAAAGTCACTCAGGAACCCAGACTCCCACTGGTTTGAGACCCAGAATCTACAGCTTATGGGCTGATGCTTAATAGAAAACAGAAGGTGAGGAAATGATGAATTTCAGGTGGACTATCTTTTAACTGTTGTAAAGACACTTACCGTGAGCTCTTCTCTGTTAACACATTGTAAGTGCACAATGCGGTATTGTTAACTGGGGGTGCAGTGTTGTAGAGCAAATCCCCAGAACTTGTTTGGCTCAGTCCACGCCATGGCGGGGTCCCAAAAAGAATAGCTTGGGCTGCCCTTTCTGAGTTGGCAAGGCGCTGGAGGGAGAGCTTCTGGCAGGGCCACAGCTACCAGCACTTGCTTTCATTTCTAAAGATCTCTGCCTTGGCATAGTGGTGCTGCTTTCACTTTCTCTTTTGATGTTTTGGTCAGCGTGGCAGTTTCCTGAGTTTCCAAATGATACAGAAAATGACACACAAACAGTTGTTGTCATAAAATTAGATTATCCCACAAAAGATCCGGGAAGATTGAAAATTCTAAATTGTCCCTTTTGAGTCAATTTATTACACCAATGGATGTTTTAAAAACACCTTATGAATAGCCATGAGCAATCGTTTTTACCGAAGAAATTAATAAACAATAGAAATCCCCATCCTCTTCCCACCATCTGGGTAAATGGTTATATGGATTATAAAATGGGAAAATGAAAAATTTGGCACCCTCCTAGGGGACGTCCTAAATATGACTTAAGTTGGCAAACGTCATTTACAGGGGATTAGTGTCCTAAGTTAAATAAAAACATCTTAGTAAGATATTGGGACAAAAACATATGATGCACAACTTTCTCTCCTAAAAATAAAGATTATAGATGGAATTTAGAATGCACCTGGTTTTGTGAGGGATGGTGTTGTGCACTTTGACACTTTACATTGGGCCACACAGCCGCGATATTAAGTATATGCATGTTAAAGCTGTTCAAAAATCCTTTATTCCTTTTCCTAATAAACAATAGGTTCGTGCCTATAGAAATATGAAAATCATTAAATCAAAGTTAAAAATATATATATAAGGTTTGTTTAACACTTTGAAACCGCAGTTGCTGCCATCTCAATTTTGAGTCAGACATATAATTTATTCTTGCTGGTAGTAACAAGTTTAAGGTTAATACGAGGACAGGAAGAAAAGAAACACAATGGTGAGAAACATCACGAACAGCGAGTCACAGACTAATCGACCACAACAGATATAATCACCAGAAAGAATTGGCCAACCACCAAGTTTTATTTAACCTTGTGGATTATAAATTTTATGAGAACTGAAGTAATTTTAAGAAAAGTTTCCGTTTAACTATTGGTTTAATAATTTTAAAGGTTTATGTAGTTAAAATGCCCATATTAACACCCCCCCTCGGGTTGTGTGAGAAATAAAAATGCTTTAGCTGCTTTGGCTGCAACAGTGCTGACAGCCTGCAGGCTGAGAACGTGCTTCAGAGGAACCGAGGTCTCTGCCTGTGATTTTTTTTTCACTGCCTTTCCATCCCTCTTTCAAAGACCCCCAACTCAACTGGAGCTGGTCTGCAGCACTTGCTCATACTGTGTAATGGGAGCTTTGTACCTGTTGAACTTTAATTTAATTATCCAGGCTGTGAATGTGTCTGTTTGATCTGTGTGCATTTTCTTTGGCTTAATTAATCATATGGTCCTGACTTACATCAAAAGATCAAAAATATATGTTGTCTGTCATCTCTGCATGGAAGAGGACAACAGGTATTTGGGGGAACTGAAGGGTAACACACTACCCATGTGTCACCTGAGTCTCTCTCTCTCTTCCCCCCTCCATGCGTGCACACACACACACACACACACATTCACCACTTGTCTTTTTGGAAAATCTAACTTGAACGATGCCTCTGATTGATGCTGAGCAATTCCTTGTAACATACACAAATGTGAAACTTCACAGCCCTGTTCTGAAATATGTCACCGTGTAGAGGAAGAATCTCCCAAGGTACAGATTCAGCAGGACAGCCCTGTGTGTTGTGGAGAGTGAATCGCCGCTGTTCCTTGTATCATAATTATCCTGCTAGTCTCATATACATGTTGCATATTAACTTGCAATAAGAGTGTTTGTGTTTTGTGGATTGTTCTATTTTTAAAAATTATTTTAAGAAAAATAATATTAAAATTCATTAAGCAGGACTTTCACACGACTGGAAGGATAAAATATGTTCAAGAAAAAAATGTCTTAATAGAATGTCAGAGAAGTGAGAAAAAATACTAACAGAGAGAATTTTATGATGCTTTAAATGAAACATATTAAACATAATGACTACACAAATAATAACCATAATTAGCAGTATTGATATGTTTAATGAATCAATAAGCAAATCTAAACAACAACAAAAAAATAAATTACTGAACAGCAATGGCTTTGGAGACCAACAGAGAAGTGAGTTGAGATTTTATCTCATGGATTTAGGAATTATAGGGATGAAATTCTGAGCATCACTAGACTTGGATAGGACACACATTTGTAAGTTATTCTCTTGTGAAACACAAATATAGAAGAAAGAGAGAGAGAGAATGGGAGGGAAAGAGAAAACTATCACAGTGAAAAAAGGTAAAATGTTCAAGAATCAGACCTACAAGGCAAGGAAGAAAGGGGGTCATGGATTGAGAATAACCTTAGAGATCAGAAAGCAACACACCCCACCACGTCAAAAGGTGCACGTAACTGTATTAAATTTATCAGCCATGAAAAGGAATGACGTCCCACCATTCACAGCAACACGGATGACCTTGGAGAAAATAATGTTGAGTGAAATAAGCCAAGCAAAGGGGAAAAAATTCCGCATGTTCTCCATCATAAGTGAGAGTTAAGAGAGAACAAAGGAAGGAAAGAAAAGCCACAGTGGTGCATTGGTCTTGCAGAGGGACAGAGCAGACCTGGGGTTACGGAATGGGGTGGGGACAAGACGGAGGGGAAGGACGTCAGGGATTAATTGGGTGCGGGACATTAGGAATAATCACAATTTGTAGTAATGAGCATGCTAATAGTATTGATCTGGCCACCACAACTTGGACACAAGTGCTGACGGTAAGCTTTGTGCCCTATGAATATTAATAACCAATAAATTAAAATAGAAAATAAAAAATATTGAATAAAAGAAGTAAAAGGCCAAATGAGAGCTTTTATTGCAAAAAGTGCATGTTTGTAGCAATATTTGCAGTGCAAGTTTGTAAGTATTTGAATGTAAGATGATTGGGAATGCATGACCTGCAATCAGCAATGAAAATACCTGTCAGAACAAAGCTGACATAAAAACACAGATGTTATGACGAGGCTTTATTGAAGTTCAATTATGTCCGAAGATAATGCCCTAAACTGCATGACTGTGGTACTTGGTAACAAATCAGTCACCATGGTATACTCTGTTCAGCGTCTTCCCATCAGACTTTCTAACATGGGATAATAAAATTCACGTTCAAATGTCACAGTGTCATGAAGAAACTAGTAAAATGTGAAAAATACTCAGCAACACTTTTAATTTCCTCTTTAATTACAAAAGTGAGATTGACACAGGTTGATTTTTTATTAGTGTATTACATCGTCAGCCCTTGGAAGTTCACATTCAATATTCCTGATAAATTTAGGGCATGACTGTGTTTAAAGGGAAGGCACAAATGATAGTTTAAGTATGTTTCCACTAATGCTGACACTCAATTGAAAGGATAGACACACCCTGCTGTCCTGTGTCCAGGTTCTTAAGTAGAAAACCCAGCTCATTTGCTTATGTAATTTATTAATTTTTATCTAAAAGTGTTTTCAACAGGAACCAGACAAGGATGCCCACTCTCACCACTCCTATTCAACATAGTATTGGAAGTATTAGCCAGAGCAATCAGAGAAGAGAAGGAAATAAAGGGCATCCAGATTGGAAAAGATGAAGTCAAACTGTCCCTGTTTGCAGATGACATGATCCTATATATTGAACAGCCCAACTCATCTACTAAAAAACTCTTAGAGGTGATAAATGAGTTCAGCACAGCAGCAGGATACAAAATCAACACACAAAAATCAGTAGCATTTCTATTCACCAACAGTGAACAAGCCAAAAGAGAAATCAAGAAAGCCTGCCCATTTACAATAGCCAGCAAAAAAATAAAATACTTAAGAAT